AATATTTCCAACTATGGCATTGATAAATATCGTACAAATCCAAAAAATACGACACTCCTGACTTTAGTGTCAGTAAATATTTTTGCAAAAAAAAATTTGAAGAAGAAGTTTTTATGTCATTTTTTGTTGTTTATTCTTTATTATTATTTTTCCTTTTTAGATGAAAATATAAAAAATATTGTATGATAGATTTGCATTTAACGACAATAAACCACAGATTGAGCACGCAACTTAAAAAAATACAAAAACACAAAGAAAAAAATAAATCAAGTTCGAGGAGCCTATAAATAATCAACAAAGATTTTCAAATATTTTTGAAATTTTATGACATTAAAAAGGGGTTTGTTTGACCAAATATCAAAGTAAAATGAACATAAAAATTATAATCAAGACATAAAGATGTGTTTATGCTAAAACACACATTTAGCAAACACATTTTAGATAGGATAGGCTTAAAGCTCAAATCCGACCCATTCTTTTTAAATTCAAATTTTAACCTTTTTATCATTAAATTAAAAAAGAATTGAAAAATTTTCAAATTTGGATTACAACAAATCTTGTTAAAAGTTAAAGTTAAAAATAAGAGGCTAAAAAATAGATTGTGAAATATGTTTATTCAAAACAAGGATTGCATTTCATTTTGATTTTGTGTTAAAAACTTGATAACAATTGACAAGGAAAAATCACCCCATTAAGATCGCGCTGTAAAATAGCCTCCTTTTCTGACTTTTTTTGTCACCCTATTTTCGCTTAATTTTCGTTTAATCTTTGAGCGAGCGCGCGATTGGGCTGGGCAGTGTCGCAAACAGAGTCGTGAGAGAGAGTAGGTATGTCCAGCACTTGGAAAACCCCACAGGCCACAAGGCAGCCAACTGTCCTCAGCAAACAAACCCCTCTCTGTTTCTCTCGCTGATTTGTAAGCACCAGCCACAAACACATCCCTTCCCTTGCTTCCTGTACCTTTCTATAAACTCTCTCTAACCATTTCTCTCAGGAGCCTGCCAGTTTTTTCTGTGGTCCCTCACCACCTCCCTCCCTCCCTCCCTCCCTCCATATATATATATATTTTGAAGAATAAGAGACGCCAAAACCTGAGAAGAAATGGCGACGATTAACAATATGTCGACCATGTGTAGGGATCATCGAATTTTGTCTTCGTCGAGTAAATTGAGTGATGTGTTTATGTTGGAATCAAGGCTTAGAAAGAGATGCTTCTTTGAAAATTCCAACTTTACAGTTAGATCCATGAAAGTCAGGGAGCAGAACCAGACGGCAAACCTGGTCTCTTCTAACGGTCCTTTAACTGCCTCTGTGAGTTCTTCTCATCTTCTTTTATTATTTTTGT